AGTATGTGGGTGGTGGTGTAGGGTGGGTGGTGGGTGTAGGGTTAGTGTGAGGATAAGACTTACCCACACTGCCACACTTCACTTTATTATTATTATTACTTAATTTCCTTTTATTTAGTACTGTACACTGTTTATCTCAAGGATATACACTGTATTCTTTCAAAATACACTTTTCACTGCGCTATACTGGGATCATTGTTTTATTATTTACACAGAAGCTAGGCCTATGTTAACTTTCCCCTACACTTCTACCTGGAGTTTACCTGGAGAGAGTTCTGGGGTCAACGCCCCCGCGGCCCGGTCTGTGACCAGGCCTCCTGGTGGATCAGAGCCTGATCAACCAGGCTGTTACTGCTGGCTGCACGCAAACCAACGTACGAGCCACAGCCCAGCTGATCAGGAACCGACTTTAGGTGCTTGTCCAGTGCCAGCTTGAAGACAGCCAGGGGTCTGTTGGTAATCCCCCATATGTATGCTGGGAGGCAGTTGAACAGTCTCGGGGCCCCTGACACTTATTGTATGGTCTCTTAACGTGCTAGTGACACCCCTGCTTTTCATTGGGGGGATGTTGCATCGTCTGCCAAGTCTTTTGCTTTCGTAGTGAGTGATTTTCGTGTGCAAGTTCGGTACTAGTCCCTCTAGGATTTTCCAGGTGTATATAATCATGTATCTCTCCCTCCTGCGTTCCAGGGAATACAGGTTCAGGAACCTCAAGTGCTCCCAGTAATTGAGGTGTTTTATCTCCGTTACGCGCACCGTGAAGGTTCTCTGTACATTTTCTAGGTCAGCAATTTCACCTGCCTTGAAAGATGCTGTTAGTGTGCAGCAATATTCCAGCCTAGATAGAACAAGTGACCTGAAGAGTGTCATCATGGGCTTGGCATCCCTCGTTTTGAAGGTTCTCATTATCCATCCTGTCATTTTTCTAGCAGATGCGATCGATACAATGTTATGGTCCTTGAAGGTGAGATCCTCCGACATGATCACTCCCAGGTCTTTGACATTGGTGTTTCGCTCTATTTTGTGGCCAGAATTTGTTTTGTACTCTGATGAAGATTTAATTTCCTCGTGTTTACCATATCTGAGTAATTGAGATTTCTCATCGTTGAACTTCATATTGTTTTCTGCAGCCCACTGAAAGATTTGGTTGATGTCCGCCTGGAGCCTTGCAGTGTCTGCAATGGAAGACACTCTCATGCAGATTCGGGTGTCATCTGCAAAGGAAGACACGGTGCTGTGGCTGACATCCTTGTCTATGTCAGATATGAGGATGAGGAACAAGATTGGAGCGAGTACTGTGCCTTGTGGAACAGAGCTTTTCACCGTGCCTGCCTCGGACTTTACTCTGTTGACTACTACTCTCTGTGTTCTGTTAGTGAGGAAATTATAGATCCATCGACCGACTTTTCCTGTTATTCCTTTAGCACGCATTTTGTGCGCTTTTACGCCATGGTCACACTTGTCGAAGGCTTTTGCAAAGTCTGTATATATTACATCTGCATTCTTTTTGTCTTCTAGTGCATCTAGGACCTTGTCGTAGTGATCCAATAGTTGAGACAGACAGGAGCGACCTGTTCTAAACCCATGTTGCCCTGGGTTGTGTAACTGATGGGTTTCTAGATGGGTGGTGATCTTGCTTCTTAGGACTCTTTCAAAGATTTTTATGATATGGGATGTTAGTGCTATCGGTCTGTAGTTCTTTGCTGTTGCTTTACTGCCCCCTTTGTGGAGTGGGGCTATGTCTGTTGTTTTTAGTAACTGTGGGACGACCCCCATGTCCATGTTCCCTCTCCATAGGATGGTAAAGGCTCGTGATAGGGGCTTCTTGCAGTTCTTGATGAAAACGGAGTTCCATGAGTCTGGCCCTGGGGCAGAGTGCATGGGCATGTCATTTATCGCCTGTTCGAAGTCATTTGGCGTCAGGATAACATCAGATAGGCTTGTGTTAACCAAATTCTGTGGCTCTCTCATAAAAAATTCATTTTGATCTTCGACTCAGTCTGGTTAGTGGCTTGCTAAAAACTGAGTCATATTGGGACTTGAGTAGCTCACTCATTTCCTTGCTGTCATCTGTGTAGGACCCATCTTGTTTAAGTAAGGGCCCAATACAGGACGTTGTTCTCGACTTTGATTTGGCATAGGAGAAGAAATACTTTGGGTTTCTTTCGATTTCATTTATGGCTTTTAGTTCTTCCTGCGATTCCTGACTCCTATAAGATTCCTTTAGCTTAAGTTCGATGTTTGCTATTTCTCTGACCAGTGTCTCCCTACGCATTTCAGATAGATTGACCTCTTTTAGCCGCTCTGTTATTCTTTTCCGTCGCCTGTAAAGAGAGCGCCTGTCTCTTTCTATTTTACATCTACGCCTCCTTTTTCTTAGAGGAATAAGTCTTGTGCATACATCGAGTGCCACCAAGTTAATCTGTTCTAGGCATAAGTTGGGGTCTGTGTTGCTTAGTATATCTTCCCAGCTTATATCGGTTAGGACTTGGTTTACTTGGTCCCACTTTGTTTTTGTTATTGAAGTTGAATTTGGTGAATGCTCCCTCGTGACTAATCTCATTTTGTCGGTCTGGGGCTCTGCGCATACATGTCTGAACCTCAATTATGTTGTGATCTGAGTATATTGTTTTTGATATGGTGACATTTCTTATCAGATCATCATTGTTAGTGAAGATGAGGTCTAGTGTATTCCCCATTCTAGAAGCTCTATTATTTGCTGGTTTAAATTGAATTTTGTGCAGAGATTTAAAAGCTCGTTTGAGTGAGAGTTTTCATCAGAGCTGCCTCCTGGTGTTATTACTGCAACAATATTATTTGCTATATTCCTCCATTTTAGGTGCCTTAAGTTGAAATCCCCCAGGAGCAAGATGTTGGGTGCAGGAGCTGGAAGATTTTCCAGACAATGGTCAATTTTTAACAGCTGTTCCTGGAATTGCCGGGATGTTGCATCCGGAGGCTTGTAGACTACCACAATGACTAGGTTTTGGTTCTCGACCTTTACTGCTAAAACTTCCACTACATCATTTGAGGCATTAAGCAGTTCTGTGCAAACAAGTGACTCTGCAATGTACAGGCCAACCCCCCCTTCCCCTTTTGCCTGTTCACTCTGTCACATCTGTATAGGTTGTAACCTGGGATCCATATTTCGTTGTCTAAGTGATCCTTTATGTGGGTCTCAGTGAAAGCCGCGAACATTGCCTTTGCCTCTGCAAGCAGTCCACGGATGAAAGGTATTTTGTTGTTTGTTGCTGGCTTTAGACCCTGTATATTTGCAAAGAAGAATGTCATCAGACTGGTGGTATGGAAAAGTTTATTTCCTGTTTAGTAGAGGTAACGGTTGTATGCTCAGTTTATGTATGCTGTGATTCCCTGCACCTCAATGCTACCACCACTCGTTTTATCTCTTGTGACTATAGTAATTACTCATCCGTTATTAACACTTCACTGGACCTCTGGCAATAGTTCGCTAGTGCCAGTCGCTTGTAAGATATTCCCATATCTACACTATATATTGCACGCTATACTGGGGGATAATTAGGATATGCTTAACTACAATTTAGTTCACCATGTCAATGCACATATATATCCTTGTCACTCACTATATTACTTATAGATAGATCAATATTTGTTTATTTCCACTCGTGTCGACATCCGGCAATAATTCACTAATGCTGGTTTGCACCAATAACTCATTACAGTTGTGACCGGGTGTGGAAGTGTGAATTGCTCATTACGCTATAATTGTTCATGATTGGAGCCATGTATAAACGTAAGTAACCATTCTTACAGAATTCATTACCTTTGTAACTTGTGAGCTCATTACCTTTGTACCTAGTTCAGCTATCAAAACTTTGGGGGCCCAGTCCCTGGACCCATTACGTACCTCTGGAATCTGTAAATACCTTTGTAACTTGTCATGATTGTGACCAGACCTACCTGGAGTTCATTACCTTTGTAAATTGAGTTCATTACCTATGTAACTTGCTCAGCTATCAAAACTTTGGAGTCCAGTCCCTGGACCAATTATGTACCTCTGTAATCTTTTGACTACCGCCCACAGGATGGGTATGGGGTGCATAATAAACATATTAAACTAACTGGTCAGGTCTATTTCCCACGGTAACCGTTCCTCCACCGGCACTCTCCTTGTGACACTATAATCCATATTTTCCTATTTAGTGTTCACTGATATTCCTTTTTTGTTTGTACAAAGGAGTATATGCACTTTATGGTTGCACACGTTTATTTCCCGCATTCTGTTTCCTCTGCTACTATCAAGACGCAGTTTTTGACGGAGCACAAACGCGCACGACTGTCCCTAAGCCTCCCGGGCAAGATGTTTCATAAGTAACTTATGTTAATGAAAGTTATACGATTTCTCAAAGTTAAAAAGAAAGAGCAAGGTGATAAGAGTAACAAACAAAAATCAATAGGAAACGAGGGATTGGATATCAGATTGGAGGAAGTAAATGTGTTCATATTTGGGAGTGTATTTGTCGAGGGATAACCCGGGTATATTAGTTATACAACGCTATGCTTAAATGCATAAACAATAAAAGCACAAACATGAAGGAAAAGATAGATAACTGTTTTTTTTATTAATTTTACCTCCGGGTACACCGCATTGTGAACTATCCTGATCTACATGACTTTTACAAGTTAGAACAGGAACTAACTATTTTTTTTCAATCAGCCCAACACGAAGGATGGTTGTTCATACAATGGTTTCTCTCCGTTAATTGCTTTTTTAACTTCCAGAACGACACCCCGTCCTCCAGTTGTCTTTTTTTTCCCAGGGAATTCCCAGGTCATTGTGTCAGTCGTGTTTATTCTCTTCTTTCTTGGTTATTGATACAGGAGGTTCCTGGGCGCCACACAAACACCCAGTGCTAAGTTCTGCACTGTGGCAGTGTCGAAATTTACTGCATGTTAAGTTGCAGTTTCAACCTTAGCGACGCTGTAGCTGCTTCTGAGAAGTCTTCAGGTGAGCGTGATACTTTTTTTAACGACTTAAATGTGTTCATCACGGAGCGTAGACGCTAATGCCTCGGTACCGGGAAATTTCCCAGCTATCCCGAGCACCTATAAAAGCCTCCCACGACTTTTAGTATATCACTTGTATCTGACGGACTACGGGAAGGTAAAGTTCTCCCAAGAACAGATCTTGGGTCTCCCACAGCTTAAAAGAAAAAGCGACTGTCTTTAACATCTTAGTTTAGGCAGTGTATGCGATTTTTTACATATGGTTATATATAAATTTTCTTTTGTAGATGCATCATAATGTGTTGGAGATAGTTGTGTTGGTGATGATGGTGGTGAAGGTGGTGGTAAGTGAGCCCTGTTCCACCTGCTACCAGCACCATCACCGCCGCCATGGTGGTCTCGCTGTGGTCGGTGCTCTCGTCTTCGCTGGGGTGAGTACGTGCATCTCTTATTTAACTTCATACTCTTATTACCTATCAGTGTACGGGTACACCTTTAACCAAAAAATAATATATTATTTCTGTCATATATTCAGCCCTAATTTATTAAAGGACAGTGAAGAGAGCCCAAAGCCATAGCATGTTTTTTTTTGTGGATAAATGGTTCAGAGAACCGACAAGTTGGTAAATTAGACACATGTGCAACACTTGGGTATCTTTATTGAGGAAACGTTTCGTCACACAGTGTCTTCATTAGTCCAATACAAAGAGTGAAGATCAGAAGGAGCTTGAGGTAGTCAGTCCCCCAGCCTGGAGTCGATGAAATTAATAAGTCCATCAATTTTCAAAAGAATACCACATATGCGCGGTTCTCTGAAGCATTTATCTACATTCCTGTTAGACACAGCAACATCTTGGGATCTTGATACAGGGAATTCTACACTTGCCTAACCTGTAGGCATGACCTACATCCACCTGTAGATTTGTCCAAGGTGACACCGTCTACGACTGCTTCACCTCACCTGTCTGCAGTATGTAAGCGCCTTCGCTCATATGCTGAATTCTTTTCAAGATTGATGGATTGATTACATCGACTCCAGGCTGAGGGGACTGATTACCTCAAACTACTCCTGATCTTCACCACTTTTCTTTGTATTGGACTGATGAAGCCACTGTACGGCGAAACGTTTCCTCAATGAAGATACTCAAGTGTTGCAAACGTCTAATTTATCAACATGTTCTTGTCCTGCAGTACACATTTATGAAATTCTTTGATGTGTGCTTTTAAGATTTTAAATTAATTTTCTCGTTTAATGGTCTATGATGATACTTTTCGCTGTTTCATTCTACTGTCTTCATAACCTAAGCGCTCACTGAATCACTATCATCCCTGAACCCATTAAGTACCTTTGTAATCTTTTGACTACCGCCCATAGGATGGGTATGGGCTGCATAATAAAGATATTAAACTTACTCATGCAGAAGGCACCGTAGTATACATATGCAAAAGACGTTGTATATATCGCATCCATAATGCACATGGCACTATGTATCACATATCCATCATGCAGAAGATAATCCAAAGATTATGCATTAAATACATGGGTCCATGAGCGGGACTCGGCGGTTAATTTTTTTCGAGGGCAGGGCCTAAGAACATTAATACCTGGAGTGTACCTGGAGAGGGTTTCGGGAGTCAACGTCCCCGCGGCCCGGTTTGTGACCAGGCCTCATGGTGGATCGGGGTCTGATCAGCCAGGCTGTTATTGTTGGCCGCACGCAACCCGAAGTACGAACCACAGTCCGGCTGGTCAGGTACTGACCAGCCTGCTTGAAGACAGCCAGGGATCTATTGGTAATCCCCTTATGTATGCTGGGAGGCAGTTGTGTTGTCTCTTATCGTGCCAGTGACACCCCTGCTTTTCATTGGGGGGATGTTGCATCGTATGCCGAGTCTTTTGCTTTCACAGGGAGTGATTTTCGTGTGCAAGTTTGGTACTAATCCCTCCAGGATTTTCCAAGTGCATATAATCATATATCTCTCCCGCCTGCGTTCTAGGGAGTACAGGTTGAAACTTCAAGCATTCCCAGTAACTGAGGTGTTTTATCGCAGTTTTGTGTGCGTGAAGGTTGTCTGTACACTTTCAAGGTCAGCAGTTTCACCTGCCTTGAAAAGGTGAAGTTAGTGTGCAGCAATATTCCAGCCTAGATAGAACTAGTGACCTGAAAAGTATCATGGGTTTGGCAACCCTAGTTTTGGAGGTTCTCATTATCCATCCTGTCATTTTTCTAGCAGATGCGATTCATACAATGTTATGGTCTTTGAAGGCGAGATCCTCTGACATGATCACTCACAGGTCTTTTACATTAGTTTTTTGCTCCATTGTATGGTTGGAATTTGTTTTTCACTCCGATATAGTTTTAATTTCCTTACGTTTTCCTTATCGGAGTAATTGAAATTTCTCATCATTGAGCTTCATACTGTTTTCTGCGGCCAATTTAGGAAAATAAATAAATAAAGATTTGGTTAATGTCCGGCTGGAGTCTTGCGGTGTCTTCACTGGAGGACACTGTCATGCAGATTTGGGTGTCATCTGCAAAAGAAGACACGGTGCCGTGGCTTACATCCCTATCTATGTCAGATATGATGAGGAACAGGATGGAAGTGAACACTGGGCCTTGTGGAACAGAGATTTTCACCGTAGCCGCCTCAGACTTTACTCTGTTTATTATTATTTGTGTTCTGTTTGTAAGGGAATTATAGATCCATCTACCAACTTTTCCTGTTATTCCTTTAGCACGCATTTTGTGCGCTGTTATACCACGGTCACATTTGTCAAATGTTTTTGCAAAATCTGTGTATACTGCTTTTTGTCTTCTAGAGCATCCAGGACCTTGTCATAGTGGTCCAGTAGTTGGGACAGACAGGAGCTACCTGATCTAAACCCATGTTGCCCTGGGTTAACTGATGGGTATCTAGATGGGTGGCGATCTTGCTTCTTAGAACCCTTTCAAAGATTTTTATGATATGGGACGTTAGCGCTATTGGTTTTTGTCCCACAGGATGGGTATGGGGTGCATAATAAACATATTAAACTAACTAACTATTGGTTTTTAGTTCTTTGCTATTGCTTTACTGCCTCCTTTGTGGAATGGGGCTATGTCTGTTGTTTTTAGCAGCTGTGGGACGACCCCTGTGTCCATGCTGCCTCTCCATAGGGTGTTAAAAGCACATGATAGGGACTTCTTGCCGTTCTTAATGAACACAGAGTTCCACGAGTCTGGGCCTGGGGCAGAGTGCATGGACATGTCATTAATCACCTTTTCGAAGTCATTTGGCATCATGATAATATCAGATAGGTTTGAGTCTACCAAATTCTCTCAAAAAAATAATTTAGATCTTCGACTCTCAGTCTGGTTAGCGGCTCGCTAAAAACCGAGTCATACTGGGACTTGAGTAGCTTATTCATTTCTTGCTGTCATTTGTGTAGGACCCAATACTGTGTAGGGGCCCATTACTGGATGTTGTTCTCGACTTTGATTTGGCATAAGAAAAGAAATAATTTGGATTTCTTTTAATTTCAGCTATGGCTTTTAGTTCTTCCCGAGTTTCTTGAATCCTGTAAGATTCCTTTAGCTTTAGTTCGGTGTTTGTTATTTCTCTGACCAGTGTCTCACTACACATTACAGATATATTGGCCTCTTTTAGCCGCGCTGTTATTCTTTGCCATCGCCTGTATAGGGGGCGCCTTTCTCTTAATAGTTTACATCTCCTTTTCCTTAAAGGAATATACCTTGAGCATACCTTGAGTGCCAGAGTTAATTTGTTCTAGACATAGGTTTGGATCCGTGTTCCTTAGGCTATCTTCCCAGTTTATATCATACAGGATCCCACCTTATGTTTTTGTTATTGAAGGTGAATTTGGTGAAGGCTCCCACATGACTGATCACATTTTGTCAGTTTGGGGCCCCGCACATACATGTCTGAACCTCTACTATGTTGTGATCTGAGTATATTGTTTTTGATATGGTAATATTTCGTATCAGATCATCATTGTTACTGAAGATGAGGCCCAGTGTATTCTCTAATCTTGTTGGCTCTATTATTTGCTGGTTTAAGGTGAATTTGGTGCGAGTTTTTAACTGAGCTGCCTCCTGGAGTTATCTCTGGTACAACATTATTTGCTACATTCCTCCATTTTAGGTGCCTTAGGTTGAAATCCCCCAGGAGCAAGATGTTTGTGGTAGGAGCTGGAAGATTTTCCAGACAGCAATCAATTTTCACAAGCTGTTCCTGGAATTGTTGGGAAGTTGCATCTGGAGGCTTGTATACAACCACATTGACCAGGTCTTGGTTCTCGATCTTTACTGCCAAAACTTCAACTACATCATCCGAGGCATTTAGTAGTTCCGAGCATATAAGTGACCGATATACAGCCCCCCCCTCCCCTCCTTTTGTCTGTTCTCTCTGTCGCATCTGTATAGGTTGTAACCCGGGATCCATATTTCATTGTCAAAGTGATCCTTTATGTGGGTCTGTGAAAACCGCGAATATTGTGTTTGATTAAGCAGTCCACGGATGAAAGGTATTTTGTTGTTCGTTGCTGGCTTTAGACCCTGTATATTTGCAAAGCGGAATGTCGTCGGATTGGTGATATGGGAGGGGGGGGTCTTTTTTCCCGGCACTAATATCTGTATCTGTTGTTTTGGAGTGGAGGCCATAGACTGTGATTCCACTTCAGAAATGATAGGAGTTGGTGTACGATTTCTGCCATTTCCTGCTAGCTTTTTTGTCTTCCTGGCGCTAAAACACCTCTCTCTCTCTGGAGTGGCTGTGGCTACCCAGGTTTTCCCATGGTCTGGATGTTCTGGATCTTCTTGTCCCCTTTAGGTGGTGTGCCTGACAATATAAGTCTTTCCTGAACTGAAGACCGATACTGTAAGCAGTCCTGTTGATACTTATAAACTAAATAATGTGAATTATCATAAAAAATAATAAATAATGCGGTTTGTCAAACGGAATAAAAAAAAGAAGCTTTGGTTAGCAGAAATTTAAAGCGAAGACAACATTGCATAAGTGTTCACAGTACTAACAAAGCTTTTCTTATGACGATAGGCTGAAGGCACTGAATTTGCATAGTCTGGAAAAACAAAATTAGGGGAGATACGACTGAAGTGTACAAATGGAAAACAGGAATAAAATAACGTGCTGAAGGTACCTAACCATGATGGGACTCACAGCAATGGATTCAAGTTGGACACATTTAGATACAGAATGGTCAAAGGAAATGCTGCTTTGGCAATTGGTATACGAGTGAAGCAAACTGAGGTACCTTCAATGGGAAGAGAACTTAGGGAAGCTTTAAATATAGGTCTGTATAGCCCTTGTGGCTTAGCGCTTCTTTTTGATTATAATAATAGTTTAAATATAGGTTGGACGTGTATACGAGTTAGCTCTGTTGAGTGGGAGTTAAACTTGCCTAGTATGGGTCTATATGCCTATTGTATGTTCCTTCTTTTTAGCGTGTCTTATTCCCACAAGGATATTATTCTGGCAGGAGTACGAGCTAGGTCGCCACAACCACAACCACCACGACCGCGGGGAAGACTGTTATGACTGCGGCTGTGGTGGCTGTGGAGACTCCTGTGGTTGGTGTGGTGGCAACTACGGTCGCAGGAGACGCAGGAGCATCGAAGGATTCCTTGAGGACGCAGCCATAAAAGAAACTTACAGCAAGGTTAGTCAAAAAAAAAAACTTTCTACGTCATGGAGTATGAGTATTAGTATAACAAATATAAATTTGCAATTTACTGATTAAAAGTAAAAATCAGTTTTGGTCTTTTATTAAAGGCTGAACGGTTAAATAAAATTCTAGAGTATCAATATAGGTCGAACTCTTCCCCACTTGCTACTTTAGATTTTTAGAATAATTTGTTGAGTTGCAGATCGCTGTGGAGGATAAGGATCAGTGTGGGTTGCGTCTAGTGTGTGAGTTGGCCCAGAAAGATCCCAGAGACCTTGCCTACGACGAGATCCAAATTCTTACTCCTTACCGGTGAGTTTCATTGTTATACTGCGTAATATTACACGGATACAGCTGATAGCTAGTTGAGGAAAGGATAGTGTAGCAGAAGGCTCTCCCCTTTCCATTCACTCCTGGCCGCACTAGTGGCGTGAAAAAGAGTATTTTGCTCAGGCTGCGGTGGGTCAAGCAAGTCAACATAGGCTTCAGAATCAAAGTGGAAAGTTCTCTGCTTACTTGATCAGGAAGACTGTCTTCACTTATATTTCATCACGGAAACGTATTTTGCTCATATATTTTTTATATATTGGTAGAATATCGTTAGAATTAGCGAAAAACGCTGTACTGGTAGGGTTTATATGGGAAGTAATCATGTTCAATCCAAAAAAGATAGGTTCAGTTCCTTGAATTAAGAGCTCATCACCTTATGTATACTCATCAAGGGTTAATAGGTATACACAAGGTTATATATACCCATCAAGGGTTGATGCCCCTTATGGGCATCAACCTTAACGAGTATATATTCGGTAAGAGCAGTCATTTTAATGCAGTTTAGCATAAACATACGGAACATCTTAAAAAAACAAAGCATCTAAAAAAATGAGTATCGCATACACGATACTCATTTTTTATATACAAAATATTTAATTGTAAGACTTAATGTATATTAATTACCCCTCACCTAGTTGTGGTTGCAGGGGTCGAGTCACAGCTCCTGGCTCCGACTCTTCCTGCTCCATGAGCTTTATCATACCTTTATCATATATTTAATAATAAGATTAATGTATACGGTTACCATGCAGGGGTGCTGGGGAGAGTGATGGCACCACCTATGGTAACTATGATGAGGCAGCCTGGCACGGACAGAAGGGAGACAACTGCCCCACAACCTACCCACTGTGTGCCTTCACTTCTGACCAGGTCATGGCAGAGTATCGCAAGTACGCTAAGCAACACCCACAAGACCAGTAATCTCTTCTTACCACTCCAACTAAGGCTCGACAATTTAACCAACTAACTACATTTAAATTTTAAGATTAACAATCGATACTTTTACCATCTTTACTTAGAGATCTGAGAATGAACTTTTACCTTATAAATGTGACACTATAAGCGAACGGAAATTTGGAATTAAAAAAAAAAGTTATTACAACCCCAACGGGTTTTGTTTTAGGTTTAACTCTCGTTAAGTACACGGCGTTCATTAAGACACCAACCCACCTACATAGTCCAGGATACTTTATTCTCCAAAATGAGGATCAATTTAAACTCAAGTGCATATAGACAGATACATACTTCTATATGGAAACAGTTTATTAGTTAGCAGTAATAAGCAACCAACATAAACACTAAACTACTAAACTTTAATTCCTAAAATAGGATTAGCACAAACTCGAATCTATTCACTGATACCTTTGGGTATGCCGTGTGAATAAAAAAAAAAGTACACGGATAGTGAGTACAAATGTACTTGTTCAACTTTTAAGTGATATTATTACTATTCATACTCTGCGTGTTTTCCCAGAATCCCAATTCTTTACTTTGTTGCAATGTTTTAGTCAAATAAACACCATACTATGAGCATTACGATTATTTTTTTCCCTACAAAGCACTTTCAGGGCACACAAAAGTACGATAAGGCACTTAAACTACTGGGAACGGTTGAAGGTTCTTGATCTGTGTTCCCTGGAACGTAGGCGAGAGAGATACATGATAATATACACTTGGAAGGTCCTGGAGGGATTGGTACCAAACCTGCACACGAAAATCACTCCCTATGAAAGCAAAAGACTCGGCAGGAGATGCAACATTTCCCCGATCAAAAGCAGAGGCACCACGAGTACACAGAGAGAGCACGATAAGTGTCCGGGGCCCAAGACTGTTCAATTGCCTCCCAGCATGCATAAGGGGGATTACCAATTGACCCCTGGCTGTCTTCGAGAAGGCACTAGACAGGCACCTAAAGTCGGTACCTGACCAGCCGGGCTGTGGTTGGTACGTCAGCTTGCGTGCGGCCAGCAGTAACAGCCTGGTTGATCAGACCCTGATCCACCATGAGGCCTGGTTGATCAGACCCTGATCCACCATGAGGCCTGGTCTCAGACCGGGCCGCGGGGGCGTTGACCCCCGATACCCTTTCCAGGCAAACTCCTTAGTCATCAGGGCAGCAAAATTAAAATGTTGAGGGGGATCTTCATTCGAGGATTTGGAGCTACCCACCTCTTTCTCTGATCAAGGCTGGTTGTCTCTCATTTCCCAGGCGCTGTATGACCTTTACTGGTTTAGCGTTTCTCAATTTAATCCAGATGAGGCTACGTTTGGCGAAAGGACAGGATCAACAAATGAGTCATTTAATTTTATAACGGCTGAGTTTCTCTCTCTTCAGGACACTGGAAACCATCTCCAGAATTTCTACTGTAGATTTTTTTTACATAATTTTCTAAATGTAGAACATATAAATGAATAATAACTGTGTAATAAAATGTGATGCTATTTGGACACTTCGAGAAATTTCGAGTGATGGGGGAGGCCAAACAGCCCAGGGAGTGACGCTGCAGAGATAGGGACGCCATATTGAATTTAATGTGTGAACACTGGACGGAATTGTGCAATGTAATCAGGCATTCTCCAAAGTATACTGGGTTTTTTTCGGCCTGAATTTGTAATAACCTGTGTTAATGTCCCCTGCTGAAGAATTGGGATAGCATGGAAAACCCTTAGAATTAGGCAACCAGGATGGAAAAATAGAGGACACCAGCTCTCCCAAGAGCACACCTCAGCTAAGTGACGCTTACCCATAATGTACAGTAATTTTTGCATTGGCCATCATAAATTCTAGCTGCTAGGGTAACGTTTGGGTGTGTTCCATCAGCATTGTCTTCCAGTAATTAAATGATAAGTGCTAATACCAATTACTTTGGGTACCCAGCAAGCCTAATCATATAGTTCACATTTTATAATTTACCATTATTGGTATCAATGTTTAATATTATAATTATTAATTTAATGTCAGGTCTAGCTTTTTTTAAGAGTGGTGAAGTGGGCATAGAGTGAGTTCCAGTTCGGCGACCTGCTGTGGCTCAAGTCCCACTTATCTCGCCCAAATTACTTGCCTGCAATAATTCAGGTAATACCCTGTAAATCTCATGCAGGTAATTTACTCAGATAATAATAATAATAATAATAATAATAATAATAATAATAATTCACATCTATATTATAGGAGGGGCTTAGAGGTGGAAATCTAGTTGGAAAGAGAAGCTAGAGAACTTGCATTGATGCCGAGTTATTATTTTTGTTTCTGAGGGGCTGAGAGAGATTATGGGAAGTTTCAGCCCCTTGCTGGTGGCCCGTGGCCTGGTAGGCAACGCTCTCACTTCACACACTGAGTGGGTCTGGTTTGATCCCCGGCAAGGGTGGGAACATTAAAATGGTATAAAATACCGACAGGTTGTTAGGTAAGACACATATGCAGCAGTTAGGTATCTTTATTTCGAAACGTTTCGCCTACACAGTAGGCTTCTTCAGTCGAGTACATAAAAATTGATAGAAGCAGAAGATACTTGAAGACGATGTAATTAGTCCACCACCCTTGAAGTTTGGAGGTGGTCAGTCCCTCAGTCTGGAGAAGAGTATTGTTCCATAGTCTGAAACAATATGGAGTTGAAGTGACAGGAAGGAGCCTATATACCGCCAGGAGGTAAGATGTAGGACACTAGTAGAGGTAAGAATGTTGTCGTTGGAAGGTCAGGTCCCTCTCAAATCCAGCCATTCTCACTAGTAGAAGTTGACAAAGTTGATTTTAGGTCTGTACCAAGATACCCTTGTGTTGCAGTGTCTGACAGAGTGAACATTAAAATGGTATAAAATACCAACAGGTGTAGACAGCCTGTATTGTCTGCACAGACAGCCCATGCTGTCTGCCAGCTTAGTTCATATTTCGTGGCATTTAGGTGCTGCCCTCTGTAGGCTCACCCAGGTCAGTGGGAGGCTGAGCCCATTCACCCTCTCACACAGCAGCCTAGCAGCAAGACACAAGTACTAGTAGCACTCTCTCGTGGGATGGCCCTGCCCGGGCCATGGGCACAAACACACAAGCCTGTGTACCCACCACGACTTAACAATAAAGAAGCCTCCGAAGAAGACGTATCATTAACCACCCGCTTACAGCCTACCAAACAAACCCGTTATAAATGGTGGAAAGCGGTGGTCGCAGCAGTTGTTTGCCCAGAGAGAGGAAGGAAGAGGTATGAAGTCATCTTCACTTCATCATCCCATTCAAGAAGCATCCGTCTCTCAACGAGTTATCCTGATGTCGTGTCTGCATGTTTGAGCATCCAGACATAGGTACAAGCAGGATCCAGCAGAAAATTGCCGAAATTCTCCGAGAATTGTAAGTGACCCCATGCTACAGCGTCCCACGCTACAGTGTCCCATGCCGTTTCTCAAGTCACGTGTTCAGCGTCACTTGTATGTTGCTGCTGCTGTTGTTGTTCAGCTCAGCACAGCTGTTTCAGTAAGACAGAGGTGAGTTTTGTGGTGATTTCTGCGTCCAGTGTGAGCTTCATGTGTTTGTGGGTGGGGGAGGAGGAGAGGAAGTGGCCGTTCCTCACCTTGCCCATGCTCACCCTACTCATGCTCACCCGTCTACCATACCCTCACCACTGCCCAATCCCTCTGCTGTGTTTTCTGCTGTTTTTCGTGTGATTCATTGCCAGAGCTGTGTATCCGAGTGCCCGAGGCCACTTGAAGCTACATGGATCAGCATGCCACGTAGATCATGACGCCACGTGGATCACGACGCCACATGGGTGTGGGCGATGTCACGTGGATCTACCAGCCACGTGAGTTACCAGATGTCCCAGGCCTCATGCTGTGGTCTCCTGCCCGCATCACATTGACGTCATCCACGATGCTGCCCGACTTCATGACGTCACGATGTCTGCCTGACGTCACCTCGAGATGTCTGCTGATGTCACAGTGCTGCTGATGTCACCTCACAACATCACGCCTGACATCACATGATGTCACATCGAGTGTTCTAGTAATTATTTCAGTATTGTCGAGAAGATTGAGAGAAAGTATATGTCGTGTGTTAATTAATTCCTCTCAGTCAGTGTTCTCACATGTTAGTGTACAGCGGTGTGTTTAAAGTTTCCATGTGTCCAGTGAGGTCTGAGCCAGACCTGAGTAGCACCACTGTGCTAAGTCACCCGATGTGACCAGTGCGTATGACAGCTGATGTCAAGACAGCCCCGAGTGACCGAGCCCCCTTGTACAGAAAGCTTTTATGCTCGTCGCTCGTGATGTTCTGCAGAATCGTACCTGCTACGATTCCCATCGAGATTTGTTTCACTTCACCTCCAGACCGCCAGAGTGCAGTTATATGTAGAGAAACAAGTCTGAGGACGCTTAGACTAACCTCTGCTATAACTCCAACTGTCGAGAGAATGATACTCGCCAAGCCGCAGTTAGCCACTGTCGGCAGGCGCTGTGTCAGCCTCGTGTCACAAGCTTCAGTGAGCAGCCTGCACAAAGATGTCACTTTGACTGCTAGCTCTCTCACTGCAGCCTGGTGTATGATGTTACGACTCCCAGATGTTTCGCCCAGTCATCTCTGCCACGACTTGCTCCACAACTCGCTCGCCGGCAGTGACAGCCCAGCAACAGTACCAGTTGAGAAGTGTCCTCCTGAGTTGCTTGCCAGAAGTCCTGCCCAGTTTACCTGGAGTTTACCTGGAGAGAGTTCCGGGGGTCAAAGCCCCCGCAGCCCGGTCTGTGACCAGGCCTCCTGGTGGATCAGAGCCTGATCAACCAGGCTGTTACTGCTGGCTGCACGCAAACCAACGTACGAGCCACAGCCCGGCTGATCAGGAACCGACTTTAGGTGCTTGTCCAGTGCCAGCTTGAAGACTGCCAGGGGTCTGTTGGTAATCCCCCTTATGTATGCTGGGAGGCAGTTGAACAGTCTCGGGCCCCTGACACTTATTGTATGGTCTCTTAACGTGCTAGTGACACCCGTGCTTTTCATTGGGGGGATGTTGCATCGTCTGCCAAGTCTTTTGCTTCGTAGTGAGTGATTTTCGTGTGCAAGTTCGGTACTAGTCCCTCTAGGATTTTCCAGGTGTATATAATCATGTATCTCTCCCGCCTGTGTTCCAGGGAATACAGGTTCAGGAACCTCAAGCGCTCCCAGTAATTGAGGTGTTTTATCTCCGTTATGCGCACTGTGAAGGTTCTCTGTACATTTTCTAGGTCAGCAATTTCACCTGCCTTGAAAGGTGCTGTTAGTGTGCAGCAATATTCCAGCCTAGATAGAACAAGTGACCTGAAGAGTGTCATCATGGGCTTGGCATCCCTCGTTTTGAAGGTTCTCATTATCCATCCTGTCATTTTTCTAGCAGATGCGATCGATACAATGTTATGGTCCTTGAAGGTGAGATCCTCCGACATGATCACTCCCAGGTCTTTGACGTTGGTGTTTCGCTCTATTTTGTGACCAGAGTTTGTTTTGTACTCTGATGAAGATTTAATTTCCTCGTGTTTACCATATCTGAGTAATTGAAATTTCTCATCGTTGAACT